GGGGGGGCGGGCAACGTTAAGGACCCGCTCACACCATAGCATTGCGTTAATCACACAATACCATGCATTAATGCATGCCATTGCACCTAGTCTGTTACGATGCACTAGGTGCTTTGTGTTGAATGGCACCCCAGCTTTCAGTGTAGCGCAATGTGCGGTGCCACAATACCATGTGTTGCGCTAATTTTTCTCACCAACACGGTACTGCAAAGCACGGCCGCATTGGGGTGCCATTTAAAAATGAATGGCAAAGCAACACACCTAGTGCACAGTAATGCATGCTAGGTGCACAATGCAATAGCATGCATTAAACACACAGAGGGGAATTTATTAAAACTGGAGGAGACATAATCTGGAGCAGATGGCAACCAATCAGCTTCTCTCTTCAGTTTGCTCGGCTAAGATTTGAAAATGAGAGAGAAGCCAATCGGTTGCCATGCACAGTTGCTCAAGATTTTCTTTGCTCCATTTTTGATCAATCCCCCTCACAGTATGGTGCGATTAACGCAAAGCTGCTGTGTGAATGGGCTCTAAAAGTTGCATCCAACCCCTTTCATGTGCTTTATACCATGAAACTAGAGAAGTATTGTGAGCGAGCCTAATGGTCAGCAAAATGTTGGCAAACATTTTGACCTACGTATGCATTTAGTAGAACCCAGAAGTGTTCATGCTTTATTAAAATGTCACCGTATATGTTTTGGGACCTCAAATGCTAGTGTATCATTTCTGTGTTTCAACAGAGTTCTGACTTATAATATAGGGTCCCCAGGCAAACAGAAATACTCAGCAGTTTTAAAGGTGTATTTATCTGTCAAAGCTGTCTTGTAGTTTACACAAATCTGCCACATTGCATATTCAGGCAGGTGACCTACTTATTTCCCATTAGTACAGGTCTGCAACTTCCCCACCCCTCCCACACTACAGGGACCTGTGGCTGAGCGGCATCGCATGGAGGATGTGCATAACAATGTGCAATGTGGGAGCTGCAGTGGAGATCAGGTTGGTAGGCAAGAATAGAGAAAGAGTTAAAGAGGAGCTTCCACCTGCCTACTCAAAACCAAAAACAGCCGCTCCCAGTAGTGTCCTTGCAGGACATAATAAAAACCACATGCTTACTTGTCAGTGTAGTCCAGCGCGGTCTTCCTCGCACCTGAACCTTCCAAAATTCCTTTCTTCTGTGCTGCCATCTTGGATTCGGGAGTTGGATGTCACTTCTTTAGTCATAGTCCTACTGTTGCGCATGTGCGATTTGTAGCTTGCTGTAGACCAGTAATAGGCAACCATGGCACTCCAGCTGTGCTGAAACTACCAGTTCCACCATGCCTCTGAGTCATGCCTGTGGATGTCAGAGTCTTGCAATGCATCATGGGACTTCCATGACAACTGGAGTGCCAAGGTGTCCTACTCCCGCTGTAGACTGTCCTGAAGCCACCCCAGTGTACTAGCACACGTAACGTTCCATTACTGAAGTGTAATAATGTGGGCCAGCTCTAAAAGCAAAAACCCTTTTAAAGATAATCCGAAAAAACGAGTGTGCTTTCCAAAAACTGTAAATATAGATTTACATTTTTCTATAAGCTCCAGCTGTTTGCGAGATAAACGATCATTATATACGTCTGCTTACAAGTGCTGCCTGTGGTTATTTCATCAATAAACACACAACCACCATGTGTGAAGCTGTCACAGCTACTCACGCAGAGCAATCCTTTATCCGTGGTCCTGCGGTCAGGAACCACGCTGTTAAGGTCTACAGTCATATGTCTTGTCTGGAGACGCTCAGCAGCTCTTAACCCTTCATGACTGAGCCTTTTCATTATTTGCACCCATGTTATATTCCACATTTTAGGCCTGAAAATGACTTAAAACCCCCAAACATTATATATTTTCTGAATGCCAAGACCCTATAGAATAAAATGGTGGTAGTTGCAAATGTTTATGTTGCGCAATATTAGCGCAACTCCATATTAAACCCCAGTAAAAAATGTAATGAAATGCCCCAAAACACAACAAAATACCCATTTTTTTTAATGAAATATAAAAGATGAGGTTACAACGAGTAAAACGATACCCAACATGCCCAGGTTACAAATTGAGTGCGTCCGTGAAACGGCGAAAAACTGCAGTACCCCAAAAAGTCCATAGAAGACGCGTTAAAAGCCCCCACAGGTCATCAATTTAGAGATACCCCAAAATACTGGCCCTAGAATTATTGCTCTTACTCCGATACCCAACATGTGTAGCGTGTTCGTCGTTTTCATACGTAGGCGCACCCGACGCGTGTTTACGTGGCGACGCGCGTGCTCGCGGGGGACTTTAACATTTTTTTTTATTATTAGATTTATTTTAAAAAACTTTTTTTTTTTTTTTTAAACTTTACTTTGACTGCTATCACATAGGGGGGCTTACAAGCCCCCCCATGTGATAGCAGATGGTCGTGACAGGTACTCTTTAAGGTGATGCTGGGGGTCCAAAAGACCCCCAGTGTCACCTTTACACTGGAAATAAGCTATTGAAGTGCAGATCGCACTTCAATAGCTTATAGCTGGGCTGCAGGAGCCCAGAACTGACAGCCCAGGGACCGGAAGTGATGCAATCTGCATCGCTCCCGGTCCCATAGAACGGGGAGGGGAATCGATGAACGGAAGTTTGTCGACCTCCTCCCCAGCTCCCCGCGGACACCAAGGAAGCCGGTCCCGGGCCCGTAGGAGGGGCAACGGAGCCCAGGAAGCACGGCGGCGGTGTTCGGGGGCGAGAGGGGCTGTCCCTTCTATGTGACACAGAAGCGATCTGGCGACAGGTAAGTCGCCAGAATCGCTTCCGTTGTAAAGCCGACAGTTGGCTTTACAAGTTTAAACAGAGTCTGTTTAAACAGCCCCGATGCTGGCGACGTACACTGTACGTCGTCAGTCACGAAGGGGTTAAATGATGTTTCTTAATCCAATCTTCTTTCCTGTTCTTTTCATCTGTCCCTTCAGCGCTGCGGCGGGTCTCCCATCTAGTGCTGACTCTGTGCTTGCTGGTACTTCCTGTCCCACAGTGTCTGCAGGCGGGTGCACGCGTCCATAGACTTACCTAGTGTCTATCCTCGCGCCCCGGCCGAAAATGTGAACTGCACATACGCCCGCCCCAAGATGTTTTGCGGCCGCCGGAGAATTTTCACATTTTCGGACGGGAGTGCGCGGGGAAGATACAGGTAAGTATTAACACTTTTCAAAGCGGTTTTTTTCCCTTACACTTTTTGCATACATCTACTGCTCGCCAGCAGTAGATATATGCAAAAAAAAAAAAAAACGGTGGGTTTAATAACCCTTTAAGGCTAGTCACCCCTGCATACACTTTTCTCATTCAGTCCTTGGACTGCGCAGGTATCGTTATGCAGGTATAATGTTCTGTCCTACCCAGTTGTAGAATGTGAAACCCCCCATAAACCACAATAGGGGAGCCTAGTATTTCGTCCAACTGTATGACTTCTGGATACTAAAAATAATGTTGCATTACGGTTATTTTAAAAAGATAGTAGTTACATACACAACTCTTTTGGTACATTGTTGGTGAAGAATATTTTCTACATACAGACAATAAGAATGTTTCAGGTACTTACCGTGACATCCTTGTACAGATGGACAGGATCATAATCGATGTCTTTGGAAATGAAGAAATCATTGGCCACAGCCAGAAGTGTCATCTCGGGCAGAGAGAAAATGTCCATGAACTGTTTGACAGCAGGACCCTGACAGGAAAGATTGCCACAATCAGAAATCACACTAGGTAAACCGATTCTTATCATTAAAATCATCCAACAGAAGTTTATTTTCTCCTGTCACCAATAAGGGTTAGAACCTCTTGTCAGAAATGCTCTACTGTCTGGGCCCCAATTTATATTTCCCCTCTCTTTTTGTCCCGCTGACCTATTCCGGGAGGTGACAACGGTGACAGACAGCCTGGCAGAGGAAGTGATTTCTTGTTATCCGAGCCCCTGTTGCCAAGACTTCCACTCACTTCCTGTCTCTGTGAACACTGTTGCCAATGGAGTCAAAGACACCAATAAAACCCGAAGAGAGGTTCTAACCTTTCCCCACTATTCAGAAAGTAAAATGCTCGGCTGAAGTTCCACTTTAAAAACCTAAAGGGTACTGTAGAAATTTAGATATCTAGAACACCTGTAAATGACATCATATCAAAAGTATGGACAAAGCAATTAATGGTCGTTCTCAGGCAAGTAATTAACCGAACAAGCCAATCTTGGCACTGTTCCCTTTCTATTGTAAACATACTTGAAATGGTTTTCCTCCTTTTTAGGCAAAGCTCAGTTTCCCCAGTTTATTTCCCCAACATCCAACTAGACCAAATGAACAACTCTGACTATTTAAAGATGAGCCCGTCACACTGCAGACTTAACTTGCTTTTGGCTAAGTTTACTCTTGAAACATGTAAAACTATTTTCTGGAAACCATGCAATAGAAAAAACACATTAGCGAGTAGCGAAGGGCTGTCCATCAGCTGAGATAGCCAATGACAAAATCATAAAAAGGGAGCTCAATATCAAATGCACCATGGAAACTGTAGCTAGTGAACGACTTTGGGTTTCAAAAGTAAATTTAACTGTATGAAGAAAAAAAAAAATCTTTGCTGGGGTGAAGACGCATGCTGAAGTGACTAAGATATTTGGGCTACAGAAAGCCTGGTCAGTATGAGAGTCATAAAAATAAATACAGCATAAGCTCTAAAGAGATCCAAGGTATTTTAAACCATCTTATTTTCACTGCATGAACTGTTCTACCTTTTAGAAGAATTTTATACTGTTTAGCCAATCCTGTTATCTAGGCACCCCCCTGCCAGACAGCACAGCCAGCTTCTGGACATCTCTGCAGACTAAACTGCAATACATCCTGGTCCAGGACAGACTACTGCCTGTGCATAGAGAATGATATCAGACAGCAAATATGTAATCGATCTTCTCTCCCCTCCTGTAAACATGTCCCCTTTTTGTCAAACCTACAGCACTCCGAAAAGCAACAGTTCTCACTGGTTCAGAGTATGGCCTTTCGTTTCCTAGCCAAAGTGATGCTGTGCAGGAGGCAGATATAAAGATAGAACTGGAACTTATGCTAGTTTCAAGTAAAATAGTGGGATGAAATAACCATGGTTTTCTGGGAGTCCAGTTTTTAAAAAGAGACTCTGTCACTTTGCCCAGTCAGGACAAAATGAC